TTCAGGTCTGATAATGTGACCGGAAAAAAATCAGACGAGTGGACACAAATTTTACTGAGCTGAACCTCAACCATTTGCTCTTTAACTTGGGTATCAGGATCACTGAAGGGAATGGCTGACAGGTTTGAGACACGGTAAGGGTCAGCAGTCTGTATTGTGAAACACTCAGACTGAGATTGGCAGACACTTCTCTTGTCAAGAGCTTTGAAAGATGTATTGGAAAGGGTAAGAGTGTAAATCTGGCCTTGGCTTACAATGGCCTCTGGGTATTTTGCAGAGGGGTAAGAATGAATCACCTGACTGAGAGCTTGAATGTCATTTTTTGAAAGTGACCCAACGTCAATGAACTGGAATGTAATAAGTTCCACCTCTGCTGCAAGTGATCTGGTTAGGCCACTAAGCACAAAACCGGGAGTGATCTGATCTACTGTCTTTTCTGTTGATCTGTAAGTTATTACTCTGATAGAACGGGGGAAGTATTCCTCAGTAAGCTTGAGCACAATTTGCCGGAAATCCTCACAGCAGTTTACCAAGTGCTCTAGAGTACTTTCTGTATCCAGATCTGTGATGTTTCTGATACCCCACATGAATAAGATGTCTTCATACTTCTTATTGGGGAAATCAAATTTTGACAGAAAGTCGCCAGCATTCCCGTTTGATAATTCTCTCTCATTCCTTGGTAGCACATAAGTGGAATCTGGGTGCAAGTGCTGTTTTAACTCATCAGCTAAGCCCATGTCATCTGCAAACACAAAAGCTTTGCATTTGTTACTGGTGTTTGGCTTCTCTTCATCAGTCACATCAAATTTGTATTCAAAGAATAAATCTTTGACATCAGAGGGCTCACTGCCAATGTAAGTGATCCTCACATGTTTAAGCTCAGCCAAAACCTGACCCTTCCTGTCTAGGAAGTAACCGCATACATCAAAGAAGTCAGCTTCATTTTGAGTTTTGTGTACATACAAGAACATTTCTTCCTGTAGAGGTTCAGATATGGTTAAAGAACCCACCAATGATGGGAACATTGGTCTTGCCCTTGATCGATCTATTCCAATCACTGCTGCCATTTGCATGAAGTAATCCAACACTACTGGGTGAATGCAGTAATCGTGAAGATGATTCAGAATTGCATCTGGCAGTTTTACAAGGGTGACAACTTCAATAAACTCTTCTCCACGGTACAGATCTCCAATGTTTCTGAAAACAGAGTCATATTGGAATCCCAGCTGATTGACTATGTCATAGAATTCCTCCGACTGCAAAACTGAGGTGCATCTCTTGAAAATACCATCCAGTGAAACATTCTGTCTCTTCGTTGTTATTGTTGGCCTATGTTTGATGCTCCCCGATGCATAAGTTGCTGAGGAAGAATATATTTTAACAGTTTTTTCATTCTCTCCTGCATCAAGTTGTACTGTTATTGCAGGAGAATTATGGCTCAAAACAAATGGATTTTGAAAACTTATGTTTAGGTCCAATGAATTGAGGGGGACCTTTGGTTTTGAACTTGCAATGAAGGATGCTAGAGCCAATTCAACATAGAAGGCTCCCGGGATGATTGGGACACCATTGTTCTTGTGGTCATAAAGGTAGGATGTTGATTCAGAAGACAAGTTACAAAGGAAGCTGTTGGGACCTATGTTGGTGAGCACAGGATGCCCACTTCCATTGCCTGCTTGCGTTTTGGCAGACAGGCTTTTCTTGGTTCGGTCAAATTCATACCTTGGGTAGGGTGTTGGCAATGCCTCGTACCCACGGTAAAACTGTTCCCAGTTTACTGGCACTCCAAGTTCAAATAGTCTGCACACAACATTAAGCATTGCCACGTGGTCTTTTCCTGGCTGTGCAGTGGAAAACACAATAGCGTCTTCTCCCAGAGTCTCTATAATGTTCCTTTGCAAGGCTGGTCTGGGCCCGATCTCAACGAAAATGACATTTTTCCTTCCCTCAGCTGCTGCTTTCAGAGTCTGGTCAAAGACTACGGGCTCTCTTATGTTTCTAGCCCAGTATTTTCCAGTTGAAAATTCCCCTTTGCAAAATGCCTTTCCTGTCACTGTGGAAAAAAGCTCTGCTACTGTTTCATTCTCCTGCAAAGACCCTATGCTCTTTTCTACTTCAGTCAGAATGGGATCCATTATATGACTATGATAAGCTGTAGTGACATTCAAAACACGGATGAACAAGTTTTTGTTTGGGAAAGAGCTTTGGAGCTCCTGTTGAAGGCCGTCTACTGCATCTGCATCACCCGCTAAGGTACAAGACCGAGGGCTGTTCTTGGCAGCCAAGCAAATCCTTCCTGCGTAAGCAGCAAGTAGCTTCTCAATTTCTGACACTTCTATGTTGCCGACAACAAGCATTTTCCCAGAATTCACCCGTCTCTGCAAAGAACTTCGATAATATATTACTTTCACTGTATCCTCCAAGGACAGGAGACCAGAACAATGGGCAGCAGCAACCTCACCAACTGAATGCCCCATAATGGCATCTGGCTTGATACCCCAGTGT